AGCCATGCGGTACTCCATATCTATGAGGTTGAGAATTTTGAGCACAAGTTCCAACCATTTTATCAGCTTATGAGCTGTAGCTTTCATTTAATTAGAGCAAAGCTATCATTTCACATAGATCTTGACATGCATCTCGAAGCTGCTTGCTTACACAGGAATTACGTGGGAAATCCATTGCCCGTGAAATCTGCAGCTTCTCAGAAGGAACTCGTAGGACAGACAATTGCCCAATCAACCAAAAGCAAATATATCCAGCAGCATGTCGAGAATGAAATCAACCACAGGAAATCTTTAATGTTAACCACAGAGAAGTTCACACTCCGCGGAGCAAAAAGAGAACTACTCAGTACCAAAACATTGGGAACAAGCATAGATACTAAGAACTGGCTCAAGCTTCTGCTCAGGAAACAACAAGCGCTCTAGTAACCACCCTTGAGATCGTTGACGACGTCGTACGGGATGGGGGTGACCGTCTCGATGGTGGTGCCCTCCACCATGAACCCAGGCTTGGGGCCTGCTGGCTGCCTCTTGGTGCTGATGACCTCACCACGCACCTTGGCCTCCGCCTTCAGCTTGTCGTTGTTGAGCTTCCTCTGGAGGAACTCCTCGTTGCACCTGGATGGCTGCACGTGCTCCACACGCACATGGATCCTCTTCTTGATGATCCTGTTGCCAACCTGATGACAGAGAACACATGTTACAATCTGTGTACAGAGCACAGACATATATGAAACCACTGATACATAGTACAGGGCAACATTTACATGTAAAAGGCATGACAAGCAAACACTAATTTAGATGTATAACACAAAGTAGTTCACAGACAAGGAAATGCAGAAATAATATTGGGACCAACATCAAGTGATGTAAAATGTGGCTTACTGTGGTCTACCAATCCAAATGGATAAAACAAACAACTACTACCAACGAGAACCATTAGAGAGCTAACATTTACCGTGTACAAAAATCTTATCAGCATACAAAGATGAGCCATGAAATGCATCCAAACTACTACATATTAGACAAAACAAGCCATGAAATGCATCCAAACTAGGACACATTAGATGAAACGGGCTAGGATATGCAACCCATATGCAACATTACATGAAACAAGCCAAGGTATCCACTAAATAAGAAAACAGATGTTTATATGTGTATCATCCAATTAGGCTGTCATAACTGCTACAGGTAAAGCATGCAGTCAGAGGAAGCCAGAATGAAATTTTAATGTATGCCCATCACACGAATCGTGCGCCACAAAAACCTCTCCCGTGGAATACCACGCCTTCCCATAGCTGAAGGGGGAAGCGCTCGGCCTAGGGCATGTGTAATCAAACAGTTCAATCTAATCCATTCTCAAGATGCAGCATAACATAACAGGACATCAAATCATTGCAGGACATTACAGAAATGTGTAGCTATGCAAGCAAATTGACAAACAGGAAAAGTAAGCAAGACAATTTATAAGAGTAACAACATATGAACATGATCTGAAGAGTTCATCACAGGCACACATAGCAATCTATCATAACAAATCAAGCACAGAAAAGCATTCTAGTATACTAGACTGAATTCGCATCAAACGAACCAAGAGATTTGGTGACCTTCAGAATCTCCGGCCACAGACCAGATTTACGTGTCCCGTCGGTCAAGATCGCAGTATCGCCCTAGGAGCACAGATCTAACAAACCCAACGACCACAGATGAAGAACAGAGAAGGTATGGGGCTGGGGAATTATACCTGCTTGTTGATCTCGACGCCGATGGCGCGCTTGGTGACGTTCCAGACGCGACCGGTGCGGCCGTGGTAGAACTTGTGCGGCATACCCTTGTGGACGGCGCCGTTCACCTTGACGTCGACATGCTCGCCGACCTTGTAGGTGCGCAGGTAGGTGGTGAGCGGGATGTACCCCTTCTTGCGGAAGGGCCGCGCGAACAGGTCGCGCGTCCGCGACCGCAGCCCGTGCCCCGCCGGCATCTTCCCTTCCTCCTTGCCTTCTCTACCTGCGGCTGTGCGGCGGCGGCGGCGGGCGGGGGAGTGTGTGCGGCGCTAGGGTTTCGGAGGATGGAGGTGCCGCGTATTTATAAATGGGTCTCGGGCCGCTCTGCCGGATGCGATGCTGGGCTAGGTTTTCGTTATTTCTGTTGGGCCTGTCATGGGTTGCCGTGACTGCAGAGTTGTAACACTTTGAGTCCAACATTGCAGGCCGGTTATTGGGCTAGGATACAACAAAGACATAACCTTCCCTAACAAAAATAAATAAAGACTTAACCTTTGTTCAGAAAAAAAAAAAGACACTTAGGTCCAGTTTTTTTTTACGATTCTCCTAGAATCCTGAGAATCGGGCATCCCCTCGGGTTCTTTCAAAATCTTGAACCTGTATTTTTTAGTCATCCTAGCTAGTTAGGGTATAAATAGGTTGTCAAGAAAATACGGGTTCAAGATTTTGAAGAGTCTAGGGGAGGTTCGATTCTCAATATTTTGGGAGAATCGGCCAAAAGAACTGGGCCTTAGTCTCCAAACGAATTTTAGCGACATGTGACAAATGAACAACCTACCTCGAGACAACCACATGAATCACCTCCAAAGAGAGGGACTAGCCCGGTGTTTCCTCCTCACCATAACAGCAAGGGAGAATACTTGATGCTCCCATGGCTTAGGTGTTACCGTGCCCAGATGTTAGAAAACTTAAATTATGATGCATAAAAAGTTTGAGAAACAATTGTGGATGTTCACTAGATGGGTGTTTATAACCCATAAATTTTCCAAATTCAAGCTAGAAATACACATCGGTATAAAAAGAGACAAATTTGAATGTATAGTGCCGTTTTAGCTTTTGTCTACTCATGACTTTATTCACGTTGGAATTGTCTTTTTAAATATTTTATGTTTTTAATTGGAGTTAAATTTTTAGGGTTTGTACACACTTATCTTGTGAACATCCACACTTTTTTGGATTTTTCTAACACTCCAAATTTGAGTTTTGTGGCATTGGAGCATGGTAGCATGGAAGTCGTGGGAGGAAAACTCACCCATAACAAAAAATTGCACAACAACTAGT